AGCAATACAGGAATAAATCTGTTATTAAAGGGGCGCAGTTAGTGCCCATAGGAATACCTACTACTTGTAGATACACTTTATCGCCGAAACGTATATATATGTTGTCCAGGAGAAAATTTAAAGCGTCAATCATATCTTCACATTTCCAGTAAGTGTATCTAGCATACTTTCCTTTTTCGTTACAAAAAAGGCTTTAAACGAGTTACAACAAATAAATTTGTAATGAGATTTTTCAAAAGACCATTTAATCAAATATGAAAACTTTTTCTTGATAAGATTGTGTGGAAGTGTAGTATAGAGAGTAGAAAAATCATAACTGTAAACAGAATTAAAAGGACCATCAAAAGCATGTATTTTATCTAAAACCTCTAAAGAATTTTTAACACTCCAAAAATAATTAATACCATTATTTTTATAAGCTTTATATTACAAAAGTTAATAACAAGTTCTTTGATAGTAGTAAGGGAGGTAGTTAGAAGCACTGATAGATTGGTAGTAGAATACTTACTAGATGCGGAGATGAAACGGAATTTAAATGGTTTTTTGTGTAATTTAGGTAACCAGTACGTAGTAGGGACTTTCAAATGTTCGGAAGAGGCTTTAAGCTGGGTAGTGGAAGTGATATGCTTGTTTACAATTTGACTCTCTGTGGAGCGTACGGACCTGAATGTAGATGAATTTGTAATTTCGTTTTGGAGAACTTCCGTGTGGTATATGCGTCACACCACCACTACATTATGTGCTGCTTTGTCTGTCGGTACGAACACAAACCGCTTTGCGAGTACTTGGAGTTTATTTTTTATTCAAGAAATGGGAATATCATGGACCCTATTACTAATTTCAGAATTGTTTTCAAAATGAGATATACGGATATTAACAGTATTCATAATTTTATTCAAATAACTGTCTAGAGATTTTTTATCAGATTTTTCACGTTTACACCAATTTTTACAGTAGACAGACAGAGCATCTTTAATGACCTGACGACACTGTTTCCAATCTATTTTAGATGGAGGACGATATTTCGGTCCTTTCTTAAGAAAAGTTATGACCTCACGGTCTTCGACGATGTTGAGGTCTCCTGTAAGGACATGACCATAGGGAACATATCTAAAACTAGATGTTTCACAATCTCAAGTGAAAGGAACGTTATTTTCTATATTGACGTCTGATGTAACTGACGTATAATTAAAAATCAAACTTGTCTTCTGCTGTTTTTTTTTTATAAGAATACGAAATAATAGGTGGTTCTATATTATCAAAATATGGAGGTATTTGGCTTTTGATGGTAGAGTCATTGAATATACTAGATAAGTTAATAAAATCAATACCTCTATTTATATATTTTAATTTAAGAAAATGCCGTTTATGATTTTCAGGTTTATCGATACTAGAAAATAGCCTATGATGATAAAAAAAACTGTAATAATACGGGTGTATTTATACATTGGGCTAAAAAAGGGAATTTTATCACACTCCAGAAAAATTAGCATATTATTTACTTATTGGTATCTGACCCAGTTTGCATAATACTTGATGTCTGCCATTATTTTTTATTATAGATAACAGATCAGCAAGTGTATAATTTATACGATGTTTAATACGTTGATTACGGTTTTTGCGTTTGCCATGAGACCTTTTATTTCTAAGTCGTTTATCGACAATATTAATGACATCGATTGAAGTTTTAGTTATGTTCCCCTGTCCTAATATTTTGTCATTAGGGACCCTTCAATATTTACCAGATGGATGGGCCGGTGCATTCTTAATATTATTTCATTAAAAAAGTTAATGACCATCCTTTTAAATTCTGCAACCTTGCCCATCTAAAAAAAACTATAAAAAGAGTCCTTGCCCCTCTTAAACTTAAAGACAATAAAAAATGATTTAGGTTCTTTTTCTATTTTAATATTTGTATGTTTATGTCTGGAAATCAAAGAATAGACCTTGGTGTATAAATACAAAATTCAAAATGTGCAAGTAATTCCACATATATATATATATTTATGTGTGTATCATAAACATACATTTTATTAATTTTAAAACCAGTATGAATATACATTTATAGATTTGATTTTATATGTGCAGCCTCTGATACAACATCACAATTAAATCTCAAGACATAAGTAATAGCATACTATATCAGCCAGCCTTTCATACAGGCTTAAGAAGTGCTAACAATATTCATGCAAGTCATAAAACATATGAAGAAATATTAACCATACTATTAAACGTACTTAATTTATATATTTCTGAAATCTGAGGTCATCTTAAATTTGAAACAGTTTAATGTATCTCTTCTTACGTATTTGTTCTATTAAATAATTGAGGGTCACCACTTTTTCCCCTTTTGTGACCATAGGACATAAAGATTTATTCAAACTATTGTTAACAATCAAACATATATTATCTAACTATCCAATTTGTATACAATTTTAAAAATACCATATTTATTTAAAATAAAGGGAATAATTTAAATTAAGGGACAATAACTCTTAGACTAGTAACATTACCATATGCTGAATAACCAATTATTGTCTTAATAATAGAGCATGCTTATATTTCAAATATACAATATCCCTTTATCTATTTTAATTTTGAAGAAAGAAATTATGGTCTTTTTATAGCAATTTAGGCAGACATGTTTTTGACTTTGATGCAGCTTTTTTTACCTATTAATTAAATCCCAAAATTAGGGGTGTGTGGGGGGGGGGGGGGGGGCAGGGGGCCTGGCCCCCTTTTTGTGGGAAAAATTTAGTTGCTTATATAGGTAATCAATGAAGCATGACTGGAGCGGGCCCCCTCTTAGGCAGTTAGTGGACCCCCTCTTATGAAAATTTCTGGATCCGCCACTGAATCCCTAAATTTGTCAGCAATACATGTACACCAAACTACCAAACAACCTGGCATTCTGTAAGATCAATATATAAATGAGATGGCTGTAGAGTTTTATGAAAATCAAAGTTGATTTGGAAACGTTTCACCAATTTTTAAAGATGACTATCTAAATTTAGCCTAAACTGAAAATTGTAGCTTCTTTTACCTAAACTAAATCCATAAAAATGACAACAATAAACCAAAGTACCAAACAACCTGGTATTCTGTAAGATCAATATGTTAATGAGATAGTTGTAGAGCTATATAAAAATCCAAGTTGATTTGAAAACTTTATACCAATTTTTAAAGATGTTTATCTGAATTTAGTCTAAATTGAACATTTAAGCTTTTTTTAACCTATTTGTTAAATCCATAAAAAAATGACAGCAATACACCAAAACTACCAAACAACCTGGCATTCTGTAAGATCAACATATAAATGAGGTAGCTGTAGAGTTATATGAAAATCTAAGTTGATTTGAAAAAAGTTATAAAAAAATTTAAAGGTGACTATCTGAATTTAGCCTAAACTGAAAATTGTAGCTTTTTTAACCTATTAACTAAATCCATAAAAAATGACAGCAATAAACCAAAGGACCAAACAACCTGGCATTCTGTAAGATCAATATGTTAATGAGATAGCTGTAGAGTTATATGAAAATCCAAGTTGATTTGAAAATGTTATTAAAAATTTTAAAGATGACTATCTGGTATTAACCTAAACTGAAAATTTAAGCTTTTTTTTTTAACCTATTTATGAAATCGATAAAAAATGACAGCAATACACTAAACTCCCAAACAACCTGGCATTCTGTAAGATCAATATATGAATGAGATAGGTGTAGAGTTTTTATGAAAATCCAAGTTGAATTGAAAAAGTTGTAAAAAATTAAAGGTGACTATCTGAATTTAGCCTAAACTGCAAGTTTGAGTTTTTTTTTCTTGCTTATTGGTAAAATCCATAAATTTGACAGCAATACACCAAACTATCAAACAACCTGGTATTCTATAAGGTCAAAATACAATTGATATGAAAATTCTGGCCCATCCACTATACATGTAAAAAAAAGATCTCGCCCATCCAAATATTTCCACAAAAAAGTGCTTGCCCCGCCCCATTTTGCACCGGCCCATCCATCTGATAAATATTGAACAGTCCCTTAAGACCGAGAGGATAAGCTGTTTGAAGTCTTTTTATCCAAAATAATTCGCGAACTTCACGTGATTTTTCAAATTGCTTGTGTGATTCTCCTGGTTGTTTCTGAACGGTTTCAAGTGGTTGGAATTTAATAAATTTTAGATTGTGATTATGCTTAACTTAATGTTGATATATCAAACTTTTGAATTTTTTAGGTCTACGAAAGCGGTAAAGGTGTTCTTGATTTCTTTTGTAATACGCTCGTCCCGTCTGTCCCACATATTGAATATCACACTTAGGTTGGGTTCAGGTTACCACATATATAAGGTTTAGAGTTTTTCAGGTAATGTCACAGGAAAAGGAGAGCGAAAAAGCTCTCCCGTTCACTGTTGACCGTACAGTAATTTGTGAAGTTAATCTAAAACAGGTTAGTCACTTTTTGGCATTTTTTGGTTAAATTTGTGGATATCCACGTGCATTTTTGTTAAACAATCTGGCTGTAGAGGCATTACAAATACGTTTGTTTAAGACGTGGATATCCTAGAAGTTGTGTTGTTAATAGTTTTCTTTCCATTACGTAAAATCATGATAATTAAATAGAGGTATAAGAAAAAGAAAAAAGACCGGAGGTTGTAACAATGAATAAGGATCACAATTAAGGAATAGGAAATAATAGGAAAAGCAGTAATAGAACTCTTACAAAAACTGTTATAAAAGGCCCGACGTAAAGACTTAAGTATTACAATACTGACATATAACAAACACAGGGCAAAAACAGAGATTGTAAGAAATCTTAGTAAAACCATAGCAGGGGGCAATAATAAAAATAGCAGGCGTGGATGAGTATTTATACATCCGTATCTGCATAGAAAGCAATACGGGCCAACAATAACGTATAGTATGATAGATAGTTTGAACGAAAAGTTACATTTTAATGAGATAAAGATAAGTGAAATAAATAACAAAAATGAAAAAAAATTCTTACCTGTCACAGTAGATTAGATTAATGAATATTGATGTTGAAATATTAGGTAATTAGACGCAGGACCAATTTACCTATTTTCCACCAAAAGTTCACAATGTGCATAATAATCAACATATTTCAAGAAATGTTTCTTTAACATAAGTTTATAAACGTGAGCTCGGTTATACTTCAGTGAGTATCTAATCAAGTTTAAGAACGTCACTCCCCATTTCAAGTTTGAATGATTATTGTTGCATGCTTTAAGTATGAATGAAAGAAATGCAAATATATTTTATTGACGCAACAGTTGTAGCTTTGTTAAAACAATCGATTATCGACTAAAGATAAGTTTCTTAATGTATTTTAACCGTTTAATTTATTGAGATAACTTAACCCGTATTTCTCCATTATTTCAACATGTGACAAGCTCACTCTCTTTCATTAAAACTAAATTAAATGATAATGACATAATAAAAATTATAGGAAATGACTTCACAATGTTCATGAACATGTCTCTTTGTATATAGTACAATTATAGGTATATGTTACAAATGTAGATGTAAAAAAAAACAATGAAATTTCTAGAACATTAATTTAATTAAGGTCTTCAGTGACTTATGAAATGAAGCATATCACATGACAGGTATTTACAATCTGACAACAGCATAGTTAATGATGGAAACAAAAGTCATTTTGCAATTTAAGCATGTTTAGTATGAGAACCGGATGGAGGTTCAACATGTTTAGGACAGGAACATGGTTGTGAACACATAAAGGTTAAAACAGAACAGTATTGTGCTGAAGTGAGAACACAATTGTTATTTAGGATTAAGTTTAGACTCTTCACGCCATTTGTAAAGTGTAAGGTATAATGGTTCTTTCACTTTAATTCTGCTTGCTAAGTACATAACCATTTGCCTGGTATCTTTGGTGTGTTTTATATAAAACCATTGGGTTGATAACACTGCTGGTGAAGGTTTCCTGTCTAGGGGTATCACTAGCCCCGTAGTCAGCGCTTCTATGTTGAAAAATAGTATCATTGTCATGTATGAATTTACAGTTTACAAAACTTTGAACTGTTCGAAATACTAGAGGTAGTCCCATAACAGTGTGGACAACCGTAATGATTATGTTTTTAATAATACCGAATTCTCAGACCGAATCATTTACCTTTAACTTGTTTGTCATCGGCTATCGATAACAATGATTTTACGCTCACTCAGTCTGTCAGAGGCCTTCCAGTGGGTATTTAAATAATCACATGTGTCACATGTCGAAACATAGAATTAAACTTTCTTTCAACAAATTTAAAAGGAATTTGTTTTAAACATTCTTTTGATCATCACATCCAACAGTTTCACTTGAAATAACAATAAATGTGCAAAGCTAATATCATTAAATTATAGAAAAATATATTAAATGTAAAACATGTCGATTTTTATTTTGTACTATAAATGTAAAAACAAATGTAGAAAAGTGGATTCAGTGTACTGGTCGGTCAATTGCCCAGAAAAAAATGCATTATTTGTAAACAAACACTGATACATGTATTGGCGGAAGCATTAGAATGCTAAATATTGCATATCTGTATAAGGAAATCAGATACAGATCAAGTATTTCGAAAAGGAAAAGGGTGGGGGGAAGGGGAGGAAGGGGGGGAAGGGGAGAAAAGGTGGGGGGGGGGGGGCAAACTAGACAACGGTTAGTGGGACATGTAAAAAGTCTATGCATTAACCATGTATGAAGCTCCATTACCCCCCTAAAAACTAATTCATATCAATTTAGAATTAGGGATAAAAAGAAATACGACACAAATATTGTTCCTGTATGTTCATAAGAAACGAACTAGTTATATTTCGATATTTAATTTAAAGATTACTATTTCATAAAGTAAATGCAAATTGTATTAAGCTAGGTCCAAATACATGTAGCTTTATACTGCCCTATAGTTTGCAAGTACGAAAAAGACCATACGAATATATATATATATATATATATATATTTGTTTAATTGCACAATTAAAGTTATCATTCATTCGTTCTAAAATGAATACTTTTAGACAAGACAAAAGTTAAAAGATACGAAGAGCCAGTACAAACTTTAGAAAGCGACAATTGTGAAATCGCTTTTAAGTTCGAAAAAGGTTATTGCTTACACATTCATTACTACTTGTGAAGCTAGTGACATTTTATTTTAATGTTTAAAGAACGTGCGGTATGAGAAATAGTTTGTTTATCGATTGTCGGTGAAGAATGTAAAAATATTCAATGTTAATCAATACGTCTGGTTTTTTTTCGAGTTACTTGTTTAATGGGGTTGAAAAACCTTTGGTGACCCCGTACGTTTAAATGTCCCTTGTGAAAACAACGTTTTAAGTAGGCGTAACAGACAAACGGTTACCTGATCTGATCCAGTTAATTGGAGAATTGAGCGCGCCAACGAATGGTCTCGTCTACACTGTTATGAATTTGATTCTAATTATTTTCTACACTAAGAATAGCTGTATTTAGCAAAACCTTTCGGAGTATTTCAACCTCAATGGTCTTTAACCAATCTTCCTTTGGCCTATCTGGTTTGATTATAGCGTCGTTGATGTGTCCTTTGAAGACGAAACGTACGTCTGGCGAACAAAATTATAAGGGCGTTATCTTTGATGAGTTTAGTTTTCATACGACGATGTTGCAATTGCTAACCATGAGTATCGATTTTAATAATCAGGTCACAATGAGGTTAAATATATGCATCCGGTGTTGACACTATATCACAGAATCAAGGATGCAAATCCCTACGATGGATGGACAAAAATATGCCACAATGAAACAGATCTAGTATAATTTGGCAATATTTCAAACAAATTATATGTAATCTGTGGTGTAAGCCCTGTAAAAGCATGGGTTTTTCGAATGAGGGTGTCTTTTATATAATTGGCACACATTTAGAAATTAAAAAAAAAATTGTTCCGATTTGCAAGATATAAAATGATACCATACATCATGTACGTCATGCACTGCAAATCTGTGAATAATAAAAACACCAAAACCCAATATTATTGTCGAATAGAAATTAGTAAGGGACACAAGACGTTTTTCTAAATTAGTAAAATATTTTTTTGTTATGCTAAATTTTGAAGAAATCAAACACGGAACATCTGTGAATTACAGTCGCCTAAATTTACAAATTAAAATGAAACCAACGACGAAAGGTGTTTCCAGAGCTGGCCGAGTTGTCTAAAACGCTGGACACAGTGCATGCGTAGCTGCCATGATGCCACAGAAGCATTCACCTCTTCCTGGGCTTAAGATCCTTATTTCTTGAAATAGATCTACTACATGTATACCTAAAAAAGGGATACAAATATATCATACCCCCAAAAAGGGATACAAATACAACATACTCGTGTTTTGCTTCTGGCGTACAAAACCATAAGCCTTGCATCTCTGTTTAGGTATTGCACATAATAATGTACTCATTAACATTTCATTGAGCACTTGTTATTCTTTCAATCGTCATGTAACTGTAATGTGATATTTGCCTTGGTCCTAAACAAAGGCGTTTATTTTAAATTGTATCCTTGTCATGAACGTACTAACATTCGACCCATCAAAAACTATTGAACTGCGTTTAAGTTTTGTACCTTTCAAGTTTCTTGAAGTATTGGATGTGTTAATTAAATCAGCAACTGTTATTTTGGAAATGTAATATTAAGAAATTACTATTGAACCGTTTTTAAGCAAGTAAAGCTAAGGTTGCAATATATCGATTCTGTCGTCATAATACGACCTTGAACATAGCCGTTTACGTTCATATTAGTTCTATAATACTACCTTTTGACATGTCGAATTTTTATTTACATGTAAAAAGTAAGGTAAATGTAATTTGTAATATGGGATGTTGGATGTGTACTGATTGATATTTTAGCCTAGATTCATGATATTTGTATTAGTCGTTATTGGCCTTGAACTAGATGTCAATAACTGCGAGTACTCTTAATATCTGTACTTATTGTCTTTTTTTTTTGTAATGGGGATGTATTATTTCCCTGCCACGTCCGTTTTGTGATTTTGTTACTAGTTTGTTCTGCTTTGTATCGTTCTGATGAGTTAAGCAACATCAACTATTTTTTGTCCCCCGCGCGACGCGTTGTGGAAAATTGCATCGTTCGCGCTCTCATGTGTACAGTTCTTGCCAGAATTTATGAAACTTATATTTTAGGTTTATATCAGCAATGTCTCAGATAAGTTCGAAAATCAGTGCAAATCAACAATTTTTATAAGAGTTATGACCCTTAGAAATATCAATAATATTGAAAATTGCATTGTTATTGCTCTCATATGTACAATTTTTACCAGATTTTCATGAATCTTATATTGTAGGTTTATCAGCAATGTCTCGGACAAGTTCGAAAATCAGGGCCGATCAATCATTTTTTTTAAAGAGTTCTGCCCCTTAAAAATATTAATTACATGGAAAATTGCAATATAAGTGCTCTCATGTGTAGAATTCTTGCCAGATTTTTATGAAGATTATATCATATGTTTATATCAGCAATGTCTCGGACAAGTTTGAAAATCAGTTCCGATCAATCATTTTGAAAAGAGTTATGCCCCTTAGAAATATTAATTATATGGAAATTTGCATTTCAGCGCTCTTATGTGTACAATTTTTGCCAAATTTGTATCAAATTCATATCAAAGGTTAATATCAGCAATGTCACGGTCAAAAATTAAATATTTTTAATGAGTTATGTCCCTTGGAAATATTAAATATATCAGAAATTGCTCTTAAGTCTTCAACTCTTAGATAATTTTAAAAAGTTTTAGTGATTGCCCTTGGACAGATAAAATATGTGCAACGCGGGGGACATTGGAATTCTGTTCTTTTATTATAGTTTGTTAATATGTTGTGCTGTTACACCGCTGTCCTAGGTTAGGGGAGGGTTGGTTGCCCACAAACATGTTTAACCCCGCCACATTCTATATGTGGTTGTCCACAGTCAGGAGCCTGTAATTCAGTGGTTGTCGTTTCTTGCTGTATATCATATTTGTTTATCGGTCATTGTTTTGTATATAAACCAGGGCGTTAGTTTTATCGTTTGAATTGTTTTAAATTTGTCATTTCGGGGCCTTTTATAGCTGACTATGCGGTATGGTTTGCTGATCATTGTTGAAGGCCGTACCGTGACCTATAGTTGTAAACTTATATGTCATTTGGTCTCTGGCGGAGTGTTTTTTCATTGG